GGTCTCAGACATTACTAGCTGTGTGACCCTGGGCAACTCACTTAACCCTTTTTGCTTCAGTTTCCTTATCTGTAAAATGAGCTGGAGAAGAAAATGGCAAACCATTCCACTATCTTTACCAAGATTTCTTTTTTTTTCCCTTAGGCAATTGGGGTTAAGTGACTTGCCCAGGGTCACACAGCTAGTAAGTGTCAAGTGTTTGGTCTGAGGCTGGATTTGAACTCAGGTACTCCTGACTTCAGGGCCAGCAATATCTTTACCAAGAAACCCCCAAATGGAGCCAGAGTTGAACGTGACTGAACAACTAAGACCTATGGTAATGATAAAGTTTAACTTGTGTTTGTTCCCTTATGATTTCTCACTCTTATTTATCTTTTTATGCTTCTCTTTACTCCTGTGTTTTTAGGTCAGATTTTCACTCAACTCTGATTTTTCCACCATACATGTTTGGAAGACTTCTATTTCATCAAAATTCCATTTGCTGGTCCCCCCCCCCACTATAGGCTTATATTCAATTCTGCTGGGTAAATCATTGTTTCCTGTAAACCTATATTCTTTGTCTTCTCATATATCACATTCCAGGTTCTCTGCCCCTTTTATAGTGGCAGCAGCTAAAATGTTTCTCATCCTGACTCCAGTACTTGCATACTATTGCATTACAATACAAAAATTGTAATATTTTGCCTTTGACCCAAGAGCTCTGGATTTTGCTCCATCTTCTAGCTCTGCCTCTGCACTGATTTCCCCCACACCTGAAATGCACTTCCTCTTCACCTCTGCCTCTTGGAATCCCTGGTTTCCTCTAGGCCCCAGCTTTCTTGATGCCCCTAGCTGCTGCACTTTACCCTCCACAAACTACTTCTTAGTCATGTTGATAATCTGTATATACTTATATTGTCTTTTACATTAGATTTTAAGTTCCTTAAAGGTAGTATCTGTTTTACTTTTGTTTTGTATTAGCAGAAGCTAGCACAGTACCTACAATCTAGTTTGTATGAAACAGAGAAGCAGCAAGTGTAGGCAGGGAAGGATTGAAGATCTGAGAGCATGGGAGAAGGGGGAGCCTTGTGAGGTCTGAGTAAGGATGGAGAGTTTTGGAAAAGCTCCTTTGGTGAATGGGACAGTGAATCAATTAGGAAGATGTAAAAGAATCACCTTGCTGCAGTGAGAGCCCAGTTGAAATTATATAACATAAATTTGTAATGGGTCCAAGCAATAAAGTTTCATGATTTTTTTCTAGCTGTATTGAGTATGAGTAGCACAGGAATAGAAGCCAATGTAGGGGTGATGGCCTGGCAAAGCACTGAAGGCTGAAGTCAAAGGGTGAATGAAACAGTTTTGGAAGTCATAATGTAGCAGGAAAAAAGTAATGATAAAAGAGTATGATCAGATAAAGGAATTCTAGAGTTCATGAACATGGAAGTTGAACATACGTGGGTGATGGCAAGATCAAAGGTATAACTATCTCTGTATGTAGCTGAGGTGGAGTGAAGGAGTAAATGGTGGGAAATTCATAAATTGGGAACTAAGAAATTAGGATGTTTGAGACAGTATCAATATGTAGGTTAAAGTCCCCAAGTATGAGGACAGAAGTTGAGGAGAAGAAAAAAGAATACTAACCAGGCACTGAATTCATTGAGGAAGGAAGGACAGCATCCTAAGGGTTGTAGTCAACAGCTGCCAGAATCTAGATTGGATGATAAATGAATTGAATGAACCTCAGAGAAGGCGTCATTACTGAGCGGCAGAGGGAGAGACTGGAAATGGCAATGGAGAGCAAGGAGTATTCCATTTCAAAGGTGGCCAATGCATATATAGGGTGACATATGAATTAAAGTACAGTCAGTGCTGGAAATGGGGACCAGGGATGACATAGATTACCAGTCCGTCCACAGGGCTCCAAACAGGAGCCTGCAAACTCCTGTAAGGAAGTCATAATATTGTTCCCACGGTCTTTACGAAAAGCATACAGCTTTCTCAGAGTCTACAACAGCCTGGCTCAAACTGCACTTATGATCCTTGAAGAACACAGGGCTTAAATGCCTGAAAAACAGTGGCAGGATCCCAAATAAGACAGGCCAGGATCACACAAGGCCAAAACAGAAGAACTCGGAGACTGGGAAATAAGGCTGGAAGGATGAGTAAACAAAATGAGATATAAAGAGCTAATCTGATGCCAGAGATGCCCAAAACATTTACAAATCCATGAAAGGAGAGTAACTCCAAAACACATGCAATTAAAATGTCTTTCCTTTGGATGTTTGTTTATTTCTCCTCAGCTGTCATCTGACTTTATTTGTCATTCTGTTCATTTTTTTTTTTGCTGTGCTGTCGGTGCTTCTTCCTGATAATTCTTGCCCTTTCAAGGCCCCAGGGCTGGTATCCCTCTCCCCTTAGTCTGTGCTCCTTGTTCTATGTTCCCTGGAATCACCAGAGTTGGACTATATCTAAGTCACTCAAGAAGTGAAGATGTCTCATTGAGATAAAGAAACAGCATAAACAGGGTGGCGAATGACAGCTTATGAAGCAGACATCCACACTTACTTAATTCTCAAAGGTCAAGTATACTTAGCTATAAACTATGAAGGCTACTACTAGAGGGCAGATAATAGCTACCACCTAGTGTTACTGCTATGTTTCCAGTGCCACAGAAAAAGAGGAAGCACAATGAAAAATGAAGATTAGACTAAAATACCTTCTTGGTCCATAATTGAGGATCTGGGGATAACATTTGAATTTGAGCCTGTAAAGCATTTCTACATCAGGTAAGCCAAGATAATGACAGGGGTATAACTGTAGAATTTAAGACCCCAAATGGCTGGATAATTATACATGCTTAACCAAACAAAATCTAATGAGAATGGTCTGTGGTAGAATGGGGGCACTTCTCTCTTTTTCTTTTTAAGGGACTGGTTAACATCTCTTTTAAGGACATGGCATTTTGGTGACAGAAAATAACTGGTCAATGTGACCATGTCAGCAAGACATCCCACACACAACTGGAACCCTTTTATCACTGTTACTCCCCCCACCCCCGCCAAAATACATGCAGACAGTCCTAAGCCCCCATTCCTTGAAGGAAAGAGTTTCTCTGATGAGGTCTAGAGGTTTAGGGGTGCTGGGACCCCGAGATCACAACACAAAATGGGTCCTTCCCGAAAGAATTCAACCCAAATCTTCTTTCAGCCAGACAGTTTTATTAGGGATAGGCCATACAGGCCAGACTCTTAAGGAATCTGAACATTAGTGATGCCCCTAATGATGAGCGGACATGAGGAAGTCTCAGCATTTAAATGGGACCAGGGTAGATCTTATATACACTCAAATAATTTTGGGTGTTCGAAGGAGGGTCTGGGAGAAAGATCCTGAAGCTGGAATGAGTTAGGGGCATGTCTGGGAGGTTGAATAGACAAATGGGAATAGATAATGAAGGGAACTGAAAGGAAGAAGTTTGAATGGGGTCTGGATAAGATCAAAGGTGGGAAATATACTAGGGCTTCTTTAGGTTTTCGAAAGGGAGAGTCAATAAGGAAAAGCCATTGAGTGGAATAAAGCTTCAGGTAACCATTTGAGACCAGAGTGAGTTTGAGGGTTTTCTGGGGCCTGTAGACAAATAGGACCGAAATTCTTTTTGGGGCAAAGGTCTGGGCTTGGGCCCATACCCCATCACCTCCTTTGTGCAAATCCCCCACAGAAGATCCCTAACCTCACAGCATAATCAAAATGTAGAGGCTGAGCTCCACAAATCTGTTCTTTTTTGAGGAGATATCCTTATCTGATGGGATATAGGCCCAAGATGGCCCCCCAAAAAACCCTTCCTTGAACTCTCTGGTGGTTGCCTGAAACTACAGTCCTATCAATTGGACTTTCCTTATCACCTACACCCAATCTCCCAATTTTTTGTTACCCTAATTGAGCCTAGCCCTCCATTGTCTATTACCTTTGTCTATGCCCCCTCCCCACTTCCCATCCTTGATCCTATCTAGATCCCATTCAACCTCCCAGTCACTCCCATCTAGGTCTTCCCTAGACCCTCCTCCAGGGTCTACTTGTCCACTCTAGATCCCTTCCACAGTCTTTCGGTATATAAGATCCATGTTGGCCACCATTTAGAAACTGAGACTTCCTCATGCCCGCCCGTCTTTACAAGCAAAACAAATGTTTAGATTCCTTAAGAGTCTGGCCAACATGGCTGATCTTTAACAAACCTTGTCTTTGGCTGAAAGAAGGCCTGGGTTGAATTCATTCAGGCAGGACCTGCGTGTCATGATTTTGGGGTCCAGCACCCATAAACCTCAATATTATTGACTAAACATTTCCATAAAGGCCACAGCAATTCAGAGACTTAATCATAATGGTGATGTGCTCATTTGATCTCCAAGGTATGGATTGCAACATTTGCTTTTTTAGGCTTTCTTTGGACAATAGTTACCAGTTTTCATCATTCTGTGGCCTTTCTATGGGGTCAGATATCAGATATGGTTTTTTCAGTTTTTGTATCTGTATCCCCAGCACTTAGCAAGTTTGTCACTTGATGGATTCCTCTGGTCCATAGGGACACATACTTTTAGTGTTTTTCCAACAGGATGTCCCTCCTGTAACTAATAATATACATTTTTTGAAATGTGGCTAAGGAAGAGAGTGATGAAAACCCACGACCTTGGTCTCATAGGTAGCATAGTGTTACCACACACTAACAAACTAAACTCCCCATCTATTTCTTGCCACTTCCCCTTCTAAAGGTGTGGCATACAGAAACAATATTAACTATGATGTATCAATTACCTTTCCAAAATATTTTGAGGGGCAGCTAAGATGGCACAGTGGATAGAACACTGGCCCTGGAGTCAGGAGGACCTGAGTTCAAATCTGGTCTCAGATCAGACACTTGATACTTATTAGCTGTGTGACCCTGGGCAAGTCACTTAACCTCAACTGCCTCACCAAAAAAACAAAAACAAAAAATGTTTTGAATCAGAGACCTTTAACTATAATTATACAACAAACGTAGGTCCAACATACCGTGAAGTTGTAGCAGAGAGCAGAAAAATATTTGCCAGGAACAAAGCTGCTTTTATAAAGTAAGTTTGACCACTACTTTTTAAAAATTAGAATAGCATAGGATGTTGCAGCTAAAAGAGCTTAGAAATCATGTAGGATAGACGTTCTTGATGTTTTTTTGTGTCATGGATCCCTTCGCAGAATAATGTTTTTAAAATAAAGTGAACTATATAGGATTACAAAGGAACTAAATTACACTGAAATACAGTTAAGCCAAGAAGTTCCCAAGCCCCAAGTTAAGAGCTTTTGAAATAGGTCAGCTTCTCATGTTATTGATTTATAGGTTAATTCTTTCTTTAGGTATCTATCAATGGCATAAATTCCCTTTAAGAAGATACTGTAATGTCACATGGGCATATGAAAGAGGGATACCAGTTCTTTTATCTGAAGGGCTGTAGACCTAATAAAGGATGAAAGGAGAAATTCAGAGAGAAGAGGTCTGGCAGCAATTATGAAGTGTGCTGGGGTTTGTTGTGATCTCCATTTAGGCTGAAGAATGGAGAAATTATACTGGCCCAAAAAAAGGCCTGGTAGGGAGGCCTTCTCTAAAATGCATGCTTTGGGCCTAGATTTTAAACTTAACATTTTAATTTAAATAGCTGTAAATAAATGGACTTATTGAAATGTGAAAGACTTCAATAACAGGAAGCCAACTTGTCCATTTCCCTGAGACTTTGATTTGAAGTAGCCCTATGGCCAAGAGTACCACAGCCAGCCCTTACAATAGAGGCCAAAAGGCCATATCTGTTAGGCAGGAAAAAGAAGTAGAGCACTAAGCATAGTCCCTCCCAATGGGCCAAAGGGATGGAAATGTAGAACCTAGTCCACTAATTTGACCTGTTCGTCTCTGCACTCCCATTCCCTCCCTGGAGAGCAGTAATAAGGTCAGGAAATTCAGCCCTGGTCATTTAGGCTCTTAAGGGAGAGGTACAGACAGCAGCAGCAAGAGTGGGCATCAAGACTCCTGGTACAAGAGATGAATTTAGGCTTCACAAAAGGTAGAGTTGAAGGAACAAAGTTTCTACAAAAACAGATTTCCAACATGAATTTAACATCCTATTTGTTGCTAGTATTCTTTCCCAATTATTTATTTTAAAGCTTAATTAACCCACCCCCATAATTTATTTTACAGAGAATCCAAGAATATTAGAGACGAGATAAGAGCAATTAAAAATAAACAAGTGGAATTTCATAAGAAGTTACTAAGGTTTGTTTTTCATTCAAAAACTTATCAAATAATACAATTTAAGTAGAAATACACCCAACTCAGTTATTTGATGAGATATTATCTGTACAACTATTAATTTAAACTATTATTAACTACAACTATTTCTCTCTCTGACACTATCACCCTATCCAGCTCTTCTATGAATTTCATTACCACTCTATTCTTTTCTCCTTGACTGTCTATGATAGGAACTAGAAGAGTATCACACAAAGTTAATTACTTCTCTGCACCCTCTCCAGAGGAAAATTACTTATTTGATTAATTACTTTTCCAAATTAGGGTTATAGGAGGTATGACTATGAAGTAATGAAACTTAAAAAAAAAACAAACTTTGAAAGACTTAAGAATGCTGATCAATTCAATAGCGAAGTACAACATTAAGCAACCACTGATAAAGTACGTTGACCACCTCTTCAAAGAGAAGTCCAAGAGGAGAGAAGGGAAATACCAATAGCATAGAAAGGGAAGAAAAGAAACAAAGAAAAGAGAATCACTGAAGTATTTTTTGAAAGAAACAAGCAAGTTTATAAGAAAACAGGCGAGCAAGACAAAGGTGAAAGTAACTCACTGAATTACATACTTAAAAGGAAAAGAAAGTTATAATAGATTAACAGTTTCATGTACACCCTTATTATCTGCTCTACTTCATATATGGACATTTTTTATTTCAGAATTTTTAAAAATAAAAAAAATACTGATTGGCAAGCAGAAATTTCTCACAGTTCACAGGAAATTTTCTAGACTTTGAATTTAGATTATGAGTCTGTTTCTTATCCTCTTCAGTTTTATATATCTTTTTAGCTATTGTCTCACCCCTTATCTTGTCCCAAGTTCCTACTCATATCTAGCTCCCAACTTCCTCATCTACCATTCTTTGTACTTACTTCCCCACTCCACCCCCTTTTTTTGCATTTGTCCTACTTCTCTCTTTATTCACTCTCAAGCCTGTTAAGAATTAAGGTAGTAATATGTTAATGCAGAAGTGGTTCATTGCTATTTCAAAACACACACATAAAGTCAGGATGATGCCATTATAGTTTATTATTCCATTTTCTTTATTCTGCTTTAGTCTGGAAAACAAAGCCCGAAGAAGACCAGAGGAAGCAATGAATGATTGTCTAAAATATCTAGAGAAGCTGGTATGTTTCTTTTTTATATATAGGATTGGGGATTCCCTTTTCATATAATCTCAAGATGGGGATAAATCTGAATTACTTCTAATATCCAAATTACAGTGGGGAGGATGTGGCTAAATTTAGGCCAGCATAAAGCCTCAATCTCTCTCTATGGTGTTAGAGGGGGGAAAAAGTGACTTGAAACTGATCTTGTCTTACAGTGGCCAACCTAGCTAGATGTAGGGTTTTAGTAGCTCTAAGATAGCCATTGGAAAATCCTGACTGCATTTGATAGGATTTTCAGATGGCTATTTTAAAGCTGCATCTTTCTCACCTTGACTTTTCTTTCTCCTTCCCTTCTGCTATGCTTAATCACAGTAATTCTGACTGATGCCTATACTGTCCTCCTTGAGTTCCATCCAATATCCAGGAACTATCTTAATATCTGATACAGTATTATCTATTTTTATCAGGAAAGGGTAAACTTTAGATATCACCTACATCAAACACTACTCCCTTGGGCACAAAACTGAAGACTAGCTCCCCATTGCCTGCCCTCATCAAATCTAAAACATGGATGGTTGTCAGGACTTTCTCTAATCTGACTACAAACTACCTATTCCAGTCAGACTGGTCTGTACTATCAGTCTACCTAGAATGCTCTAGTTGGGGAAAGGCCCAGTTCCTGTTGACCTTGGATGTAGCTTCTGTCCCCTGGGCTCTAATCACTAATAGAAGTAGAGAGATTCAACATACACTCAAACACAATCCTTTTCATGGTCACTTTCATCTATAATAGCTATAGATATATACCCTTTATTGGTCCATAGATGCAAACAGATCCACAGATGCACATAACCAAACGTGTTCAAAAGAGAGTTGAGAAGAGGGCACTGATAAGGGGAAATGGAGCTGCCTGGTACAGATTTGCTCATAGAGTGATGAGTAATCATTTAATTAATAAGTACTTTTTAAAGGCCTCTTATGTACTAGGTTCTGGGAATACAAAACCAAAAAAGAAATATCCTCTTGTTTTTTCACAGAGGAGTCAATATTTACACATAAAATGGTTACAATATGAAGACAAGATCATTCTTTCTTGATGGAGAGAGGCACCAGTCAGCTAGTGGCATCAGGAGGGAATACTTGAGCTGAGCTTTGAAGGAAACTAGAAATTTGAAGAGGTAGGAGGGAGGCAGGTTATGAAGGCCTTTCATTTTATATATCATTCTAGAGGTAATAGGGAATCAGGAGTGACACGGTCAGATCTGTACAAGAGGAATATTACTTCGGCCACTATGTAGAGGATAGGTTAGGGAGGGGAGAGACTAAGAAGCAGGGATACCAATTAGGAAGCCAATGCAAGAGTTATGATGAGGGCCTGAACCCAGGGGGTGACCTTACATGTGAATGGAGAAAGGGGATGATGGATAGCAGAGATAGCGTGGCAGTAGAATAAATAACAAATGGCAGATGACTGGATGTGTGGGAGAAGAGACAGCAGAGGAGTCAAGGGTGATTCAGAAGATGCAAACCTATGTGACTAGAAGGACAGTGGTGTGCTTGACAGAAATTAAAAAGAGGCATGGCATATATACATTATCTCAATTTCTTACCTTCCACTGGGTATAAATACAGATGGATAATGTGAGAGTATCTCAACCAAAAGTCAGACCCTGTCTTTGTAAAATGACAGACAGCAGTGCAAATGATGTCATATCATAAAAACAAGAGCTCCTAGGCCTCTCTGGATTTGATTCCTTAAATCTCACCTGTTCTCAACCAGGCTACATGTTAAAGAACTCCACCTACCCTCCTCCCAATTTGGAACTTTTTTGGCGGGGATGTGGGGGAGGGAGAAAGCATAATCTTACACTGACATCCTCAAAGTCCAAGATGATCTTCTGAATATTTGCATGTATTTCAATTCATTGTCTGAACAGTGTCATGCAGAAAGGTCAGAAAAAGTCGTATCAGCTAGGACACCAGCAGCTGTTGCCACTGCCACCATAGCCTCAATCCCTGCTTTTGCTTCTCTACTTACCCATGGTGCTTTTCACTCTTTCGAAGATGAAGAATATGAATTTTAATAAGAGAAAGAGCCAGATGATCTACAGTAATAATGTGTGTGCGTGCACACAAACACCCTGGGGAAAAGCTCAACCATTTCATGGCCTCGGTTTAATTACAGTAATAAATTTAACTCAATTTCCAACACATCTTGGTGTCCATGGTGGAAGGGAGAAAACAAAAACATATGAGATATGCACGCTTTTATTTGCACCACTGATCTTTTAAATCTTTGACATTTTCACATTGGTAAGGTTCACTTAATCATCAGTCATTAAAAGGTCTATCCCAACAATATCTTGGCCATTATTTGTAACAAATATTTTTAAGAGGGAAAAAAGTGTTCATTACAAAGTGCAGAAAGCTTTCAACAATTTCTTTGGAAATATATCTTGATAATAGCAAACATTCACCATAATAGAAAACAGAGAGGGGATTAATTTACCGTGGCATAGGAAGTCCTGCCAGTTCCTAAATGCCCTAAATAGTTTCTTTGCGATTCTTACATTGTTTAGGCCTCAAGGAAAACCAAAGCCCCACCTCCAGGTTTGGTAGCAAATAGACACTGCTTCTCCACAGCTAACCTTTCCTTCTTGCTTTGGTAATAAGTTTCTTGCACATTTGCTAGAAGGTCAGGCAGCTTGTCAGTAGGTACCAATGATACAGCGCAGCCTCCCCATCCTGCTCCAGTCAGTCGTGACCCTTGAGCCCCAAACTGCCTACAATAATAAGAAGAAAAATTTAGAAATGGTCGATTAAAACAAGAGCGATTTGTCTTCAAGCATGAGAACATCTATGGCTGGCCAAGTTCTCAGAAGAAACACATATATGTGTTTTTAGCATTTGGGAAAGGTTATAGAACTTGAGACGTTTTAGCTGTTGATCTGTAACTAAAGTTAGTCCCCAGCTTTGGCCAGCACTGGCTGTCAGCAAGGCCATGGCTTTCATCAGTTCTAAAAAAGAATCTTCATAGTCTTAATATTCTGTAGGCTTGTCATCAAACTGCTTTAATGGAGTGACAGGGGACAGAAAGGGTGAAGATAGAGGAGAAAACAGACATAATGAACATTCATACCTGGATCAAGAGAAGATGGCTTTAAGTGATGTCAAATCATAACTTAAAGCCCATCCATATACCTAAAAAAAGATTTCTTTAGGGAAAGGTGTTTCTTTTTCCCTTTGTTCTCAAGATTTGTTACTCTATATACAAATTCAAACACAAACTCCTCTGACATTTAAAGGTCTTAAACTGACTCAACCTGCCTTTCCATTATCATTATTATTAATCTTATTAATCATAAGTATTTATTAAACCTAGACCATATGCCAAATCCTGTGCTAGAGGTACAAATAAAATACATGAAATAATCTCTACTCCTAAGGAGTCCCCCTTCACACCTTTCAGGCCAGTCTTGCTGATCCTCATATGCAACATTCCATGCTTTTTTTGCACTGGCTGTCCACCATGTCTAGAATATACTCCATCTTTATTGTTGCTTTTTAAAATCCCTAGTTTCCTTCAATACTCAACTCATGTGTAATCTTCTAAAAGAGGCTTGCCCTGCCCCCCCCCAACCTGCCAGTGACCCCCAATTACCCTATATTTTTTCTGTATAATTGTATGTGTACATATTGTCTCCCCTCCTAAGGCCTACTGATTTTGTCTAATACAAAAGTTCCCAGTGCATGGTGCTTAATAACTGAAATTGCAGTCAGGAAGACTTAAGTTCAAAACCTGCCTCAGACATTTATCAGTTGAGTGATGAACAGCAAGTCATTTAATCTCTCTAAACCCTCTCCCCTTCTCATATATATATATATATATATATACACACACACACATACACACACATATGCACATGTATATATGTATATATACACATATATGTATATATACACACACATGTATATGTATGTATATATGTGTATATATATGTGTATGTGTGTGTATATATATATATATATATAAATATATATAAAAAAACACATACTTATACATATATATACATACACAATAATGATAATAACAACACCTATATCATAGGGTTGTGTTTTTTTAAGGACCAAATGGGATAACACATTAAACATTTTGCAAACCCTAACATACTATATAAATGCTGTTATTGTTATAAAATTTTCACTTTTGATGTAGAGCAGATGACCCTGATTCTTACTGAGAAAATCTGTCATAAAAGCATTTATTATTAAACTTTATCATTTTACAGAAAAAAATTCCCAAGGAAAATTCAAGTTTCCCGTATATGAAAATCTCTCTAGTGAGAAAATAATAGACAGACATGATGCATTCATACCTTTACTCCCAGGGGCCTCCTGGAGTTGGCCATACATTCTCTAGGCAGTGGGTACCACCAGATAAAATGTCACTAACTTGGATGGCAATTGTCTATAAGATAGCCAATAGTCATGGGCTAGTTCCAGTTATCAGCTAGGTGCTATTCCAAACCTGGGATCTGAGTTGAAGCGATAGGCCCCAGTACAAAGTATGTGAGGTTTATTTCTCTCCTAATGAGCCAACTTGCCCTGACAACAAAATCTAACACATATTTGCAATCCTTACTAATAAACTTTTCTCCTAATTAGCAGCAGATTAAAAGTTCCACCATCCTTTTTCCTCTCCTTCTAAATAAAATACTTTATACTTCTTGTAAAATATCAATAGGCCATTTCCTCTCCCCATTATAAAGCTGGGATTATTGCACAGTGACAATTCTCTCCACCTCCAACTCACCTACCCTCTCCAATGATCTCCTTAATTTACTTCTCTCCATCATCCATTGTATTCACTGAAATTTACTCTTCAAAAATAGAAACACAAGGGAGAAGACAAAAGCTCACAAACAAATGAAGACCAGTTTTCTTTCTGTGCTGAAAACATTCATTTCTCCCTTCAATAGCTGCCCTAATCTGTTCCTCTCATTTTGGGGCCTGTAGCTGCCCTTTGTCTAAAGCAGAGACCTCAAAAGCTGCAGAGGATCCAGGCCAATCTGAAGCTCCCATCACATTGATGACACGCATCATCATGCCCAGGCCTACCTCGCTGTGGAGGATAATGCAAGGAAAAACTACAGTGATAGCCCTTGAAAGACTGGCTCTCATCTAACCTGAATTCAGATTCTAGTCTTCCATTCGAATGGTTTGCCCTAGTTCTGTGAGCTCTCTAGAACCAAATCCACAACCTCCCACACTTATGTTTAATGGTATACATTTCTCTTTCTGATTTGAATTATATCTGAATGCTGGAGGCCAAAACTCTCACCAAAAACCGTGTTTTCATGTTATTTTGAACCTGGCTGAAACTAGAAACCAAAGGAGATTGATTAGGAGGTCTGTTCTCTTGTGATATACATGCCAGTTTTTTAAACAGAAGGCTGAAGATGTTTCCGGTAAACACAAACTCCTGACTGTTTTCCCAAGCCCCTCATAACTGATCCATGACTGCCCTGCAAAAGACTTAAAATGGGCTGAATGGAAGAAAAGACCTCATGACCCCAAGCCATTAAGGATCAAATTTCCAAAAGCGAGCATGATAAGTGTGCCTATAAATATGACTTAGCACACTTCAATTGCTGGCATTTGTGTGCACAAATCAAGAGGCTGCCCCAGCAGATGAGGAGCTAGGGCACATGTGTGTGAGCATGTGCACACACATGCCCATCCAGATATATTCAAATCCCCTATCTTGAGTGTGTCCACTCTGGCTTCAGTGAGTCCTTCAGGAAATATATGAAGAGTGGTGAGAGAGACCACCAAACAGGGAAACAAGAAAGATATATTTTAAGAAAGACCACTGAGTAAATCATGTCTTAAGATTGTTAGAAGATTCCCCCCCCCTCCCCCCCCCCGGAACTATAAGATGTTAAATATTTCTACTGGGTTACTGCAAATCAGGACGGCAAGGTAAGAATTATGAAAACCCAAACCATGAAGCTCCCCACAAAAGCGACTTTGATGTCAATGACGGCTCAGTGGAAAGTAATGTAGAGGGAGCTGGCCAAGGAGGCCACAACAGCCTGTTTCTGAAAAAACACCATGAAGAGTCCATAAAAATCAAAGTCTGGGGGAAGCGAGGCTGCAGTGAATGATGCCCTCCTCCTCCTACCATTATAAGGCACTGCTAATGATTAGTTGTTGTTGGGCAGCCAGTACAAACAACCCCATGAAAAGCTCCCAGTTTTGCAAAGTCATGAACACAGTGAAGAAGTAATTGTGCCTGGCCCATAGAAACCCTTTGTTAAACATTTGTTGTGTAGTGGAATGCAAAGAATGTTGAATTTGGAGACACTAGATCATAGAGTTAGAGCTCAAAGAAACCTTGAAGGACAATGAAAACAACCCCCTCACCATTTTACAGATAAAGAAACTGATGCTCAAAGAGATCTAGCAACCTAAACAACGTCACTCACTCAGGTAGAAAAGAGCAGTGGCTGAGCTTGAACCTAGGGCCTGGGACTCTAACTCCACATCTCTCCACTCCACCAAGATTGGGAGCCTGTGTCTGAATCCTGGATCTCTCTGCTAACCTGTGTGATGTAGGGCAAATCACTTATTGTCCTGGACCTCCCTTTCTTCCCCTGTAAAATGAGAAAGCTGAACTAGTTCCCCTGTAAATCTATGCTCCTACAACCACATTCTTTAATTTGATTGAATAGAAGACAAAAGGTAAAAAGATGGTCAACCATTATGTTGCCAAAAGCATAAAGCAAGGTCTCCTCATTTGAAAACATAGAGAGGATGGACCAAATAGTGGCAAACTGTATCAGTGCCCCCAAAGCATGACCAATACAGAGTCTCTCTTCTTCTGGGCAGAGGAGAACCAGCTTTCAGCTCCAAATGAAATCGAGTACCTGTGGCTACACAAACTGCTCTTCTCAGTTCAAAAAGGGAGGGTTAAGATGATTCATGGAGGCAAAAGAAGGCCACAAAATTTGTCTGTACCAAGATTTTTTCAGGCTACATAGCAACTTAACTCATGTAACCTTTGTTGGCCCAGTATTTGAAATAGGTTCCATAAAAATTTGTCATTCAACTTTCTTAACAACTTGGGAAACAATGTGGCAGTAAATCTATAATTTCAACAAGTGTCAAAACTGA